TAACCAACGGTAACTATATTTACCTCATCTCAAGTGTAATTAAGGAAGCTTTATACTGTCTTCCAGCTAGAGTAGGATTGTCAATGGCAGTGAACTTCGAATAAATTTCATGGGCGGTCATTCAATTTTGTGTTCATTATCCAAAAGTTACTTTTTTTCTTTCGTTACGTAAAAGTCATTCAACTTTGTATTCATTATCCAAAAATTATTTTTCTTTCTTTTATTACACAAAAATCATTTTATTATGTTCTAGCTATCACAATAATCACTTTGACCAAATTTTACAAACCTTTCACCTGAAAAGTCTATTATGTCCTTGACATTATAAATCCTCCCATTTATGTTATACCTTCTATATTATATGCTATATAATATACTTTTACCCAAGTATTTTACTTATAATTAAAATAACTTAATATTATTTTATTTATTATTTTTATAATACATTCGTACATTTGATTTTTTCTTAATATTAATTTCCAAGATATATAAGTAGCATTATTAAATTTGTTAGTAACATTACCGTGAACAAATCTCAAATTCACGTTCTTAATCATGCTTAATGAAATATGTTTAATAAAAATTTAAAAAATCAAAGCTCATTGATTTATCAGCCAAGCCATACTAATTAATTTAATAAATAAAATACTCATATTTAGCAATTTGACATATGAGATTAATACTTTCAAATAAATAATATTAATAGATAAAGCATTAAAAACTTAATATTAAACACAAATATCGTTGAAACTTTTTTTAAAAATTTTATTGACGATAAAAAACTATAATTTGTTAAACAAATTTGTTTTTATTATTTTAAATAAATATTAAAAAATAAATTTTTTAATCATTTTTATATCTAAAATATGTTCATGTTTGAATATGATTAAATAAATTGAGTGCCATGGAAAAATTAAATGTATGGATATATTACAAAAATAATAAATAAAATAATTTAAAGTTATTTTAATTATAAGTAAAATACCTAGGTAAAAATATATTATATAGTATATAATATAGAAGGTATTACATAAATAAAATGATTTATAATGTCAAGTACATATATTATAAAATTTGGCCAATGTGACTTTTGTGATAAATAGAGCGAAGTAAAATAATTTTTGTGTTACAAAAAAAAAGTGATTTTTGTGTAATGAACACAAAGTTGAATAATTTTTACGTAACAAAAAGAAGAAAAGTTTTTTTTTTTAATGAACAAAAAGTTGAATGACCAACTTTGAAATTTATTCGTAACCGTCTTTTTAGAGATGACCAAAAAAAAAGTTTATAAATAAATAAAGAGGAGAAAATAACGCCAAACAATGGTGCCTAGTCAATGGATGAAAGGATCATGTAACATATGAAGTGAAGTAATAGCTTAAGTACTAGTGTACAACAGTAGCGGCATTGTCACTCATGAGTCATGACCTCAGGTGTATGTCCTCTGATGGTAGGGTTACTTTTGGAATCACACATAAACTTATGTGGAAGATAGAAGAACAAAGGAGAAGGGCATGCGAACCACCAATATGGTGAGATAATTGGAACTTCTTAACTCTTAATTAAATTTTTTTAAATTCAAATTTTGAGATTAGAGAATTGAAAGATATAATTTATTAAAAATATTATATTATTTTAATTATTTCTTTTACGGGAGATCGCTGAATAAAACATAAGAAGTATATTTCATATTTCTTTACATTGTAACATGATCATAGTATAAACGGTTAGTAGATAGTCAAGCTATATATTTCCCATAACAACAATATTAGTATTAACTTTATATTTTTCTATTCTTAATTTTTTTTCGTACATATTATTTTTTTCGTTTCAATTATCTTGTTACCGCTTCTTTCTTCTGTTTTTGAGCCAATGATCTATTAAAAATAACTTTTTTATCTTCGTAAGGTCTGCATACAACTATCTTTTTTAGATTCTAATTGTGACTAAATATATTATTGTCATTAACATGATTGTAGGAGATCATTTCTAACAATTAAATATTTAATAATTAAAATATAAAAGAAAACAATGTGAGGGGCATGAGGGAGAATGGTAAGGAGGAGTATTATGGGCATAATTTGGGGGATACATGTAAAATAACATAACACCATCAAACTACCCAATTAGCGTACGTGATAGCACGTGCTTCTACTACGCCCTTTTGCGGTGCGTCGCTCTCATTCTCGTGACGCTGTCACGTGGGCGTGAGATTAGGATTGCGGGTCCCCCTTTTCTCCCCACCCACTCACCAAGAAAATGGAAAAGCAAAAGTAACCATTTGTTTTTTTATTTTTGGGTGTAATAAAAGTTTCTTTACAAAAGTGGGGGCATGTGCATTTCTTTCCGAAGTGACCTGTCGTTCATGGGGTCCACATTTGATATTCTTGCTGACGTGTCTCTCTCACGTGCTCGATATCTCGTGCTTTTCCCCTGGTCCTTATTGCACTAACGTAGCCCAACAATTCTTCCAACGTCTGTCTCTCTTTTTTCCGATTTCACTCAGTACTAAGTTTTGGATCTTTACCCATATACTTGATCGGATACTTTTCATTCTTTGGGCTTCTTTCTAACTGGCCCATATTCCAGGCCTGAAATTGACACCGTACCGAAATTAGCCTGATTTACTCCCTTTACTTTTATTTATTTACTATACTATAAATTTTACTTGTTCACTTTACTAAATTTTAAACCTTTTTTTTTCTTTCTGTTTTTACCTTATTATTAATTACTCATTTTTTAAATCATTCCCCAAGACTTTTGAAAACGCTATCATTATTATTAGTAATTATAAATTACATACTTCCATTTTTTTTTAAAGGGAGTGCAAATTCAAAAATGGATAACTAAAATTCGAGTAAGACCCAAAAAAAATTGTAGCATAATATGTTGGATTATGAGACTTTCGCGATTAAAACTACAAAAAAATATGTACAAAAAGACTGCATATTACGTTGGATTATAAGACTCCTGCATATGAAATTCTAATATATTATATTAAAATTCCAACACATTATAATCTAGTAATTTGTAAATATTTTCTCAATTATTTTATAATTGTCAATGTTATGACTTTTGTCATAGAATATCAGGTTTGGGCTTGTAAAAGCTCACTATCCTGTAACATGACCCAAATCTAAAACCCAATAAGACAAAAGAAAGTTTTCTCTCACTTCCCAAAGAATCGAAATTCTTCTCCTCACTCTCACTGGAACTCACCGGTCGCTACTTGCTAAGTTTTGTTTACAACTCGTCGGTCGCTACTGCTGCAAGTACCAATCTCACTGCTCAAATACAGTCTGGTAGGCCAAAGTGTTTGATTAAAGCCATTTATTATGTTCTTTTGTCCCTTTCAATGTTGGTAGAAATGTAGTACTAATTTCTTTTTTGCCGTTTAATGAACCAACAATGTCGTAAGAAATGTATTGCCTACTGTTGTGGAAAGTTATACCTTTTTTTTGGTATCCACTTAATGATTTTTTAGTGCAAAAATTCTGTCACTGTTATTTTTTCTTGTTTTAATCTTGTCCTGTTAAAATGATCAAATATTCCCTACTCCATTGTGTGCAGGGACTCCCTTAATAGATGGAAACTTCAACCGGAATAAAGGTGGAGATGATTATCAACAATCCTCCGACTATGCCGGTGGTACATCAAAAGAAAGGTAAAAGCAGTCCTCATATAGGCCCTCCTCCTAAAAAGCAAAAAAGAGCTGGTAATACTAGAAGAGAAACGTCTGAAATTTGGGATCACTTTACCAAATTTATTGATATAGGAGGTAAACATAGAACAAAATGCAATTATTGCATAAAACACTTTGCTTTTGATACCAAGACTAATGGAACTTCTGCATTTTGGAAACATTTAGATGAGAAATGTCCTAAATCTCCCTTTAGATTTATTTATAGGAAGCAAACAACACCGAAACTTACGCTTATCAAACAAGAGGGACAAGAAACTGATACAAGTTCTATTGAAAGAGTGGTGTATAATGTGGAGGATATTAGGAGGGCAATTGCCGAATTTGTTATAATTGATGGGCAACCATTTAAAGTTGTTGAGGGGGAAAGATTTAAGAAATTAATAGCTAAAGCCTTGCCTAACTTTGAATTACCTTCCCCTGTAACTGTGGCTAGACATTGTTTGAAGATTTATCAAGAGGAGAAAAAAAAGCTTAAAAATCTCGTCAAGAACCAACGTGTATGTCTTACTAGTGATACATGGACATCACAACATAACTTGACTTATATGGTTGTAATTGCTCATTGGATTGATGATGATTGGAATTTACAAAAGAAGATTCTTAACTTTTTCCAAACCCCGGATCACAAGGGTGAGACTATTGCTAAGGGTATTGAGGCATGCTTGTTAGATTGGGGGATTGAGAACTTGTTTACAGTGACCCTGGATAATGCTAGTGCTAATGATGATGCCGTAAAGCATTTGAAGGCATATATTGATGATTGGAAAGGGGTGATATTGGGAAATGAGTTTTTACATGTTAGATGTAGTGCTCATATTTTGAACTTGATCGTAAAAGATGAGTTAGATGAACAAATTGAGCCCATTTCTCGTATAAGGAATGCAGTAAAATATGTCAAGTCTTTGCCTTCAAGGTTTGCTTCTTTCAAGTCATATGTTGAGAAAGTTAAGATAGATACTCATGGTCTTTTGAGTCTTGATATTGAGAATATGTGGAACTCGACATATACCATGTTAGATAATGCTGTGAAATTTGAAAAGGCATTTTCAAGAATGCACATGGATGACTATATGTACCAACAATATTTTCGAGAGATGAGTGGGATCAGAGGACATCCATCTGAAGATGATTGGAAGATTGTGAAAGTTCTTATCAAGTTCCTTAATATTTTCTACCAGACCGCTTTGAAGTTTTCAGGAAGCTTATATACCACTTCAAATTCATTCTTCCATGAATTTTTTAATGTTCAAAATGCTATTATTAAGTATTCTCATAGTGAAGTTCTTATTTGATTGATATGGCTGAAAGGATGAACAGTAAGTTCGATAAATATTGGGGTATGTTTGAGAATTTGAATATGCTATTGGTTATTGCCGTTGTGTTGGATCCCAGATATAAGATGAAGTATGTGAACTTCATTCTTGGCAAATCATATGATTTTTTGTCGGGAAGATTGAAGTCGGATCTGGTGGTAGGTGTTTTGAATCACTTATATGATCGCTATGATTCGTTGTTGGAAGCTTCTAATGATGATATTGGGGGTGATACTAGTACGATGAGTGAAGCTGGTGATGCATGGCAATCTCAATGGGAGAAACATTTGGAAGAATAGGAAAATATTGAAAAAAAATTTGAGCTGGAGAAATACTTGATGGATAATGTAGAGAAGACCAAGGATTTAAATATCTTGGCTTGGTGGAAAGCTTCATCTAATAGATATCCAATTGTTTCAAAAATGGCAAGGGATATTCTTTCTATTCCTATTTCTACCGTTGCATCTGAGTCAGCTTTCAGTACCAGTGGTCGAATTCTCGATTCTTATTGGAGCTCTTTATCACCAAAGACGGTAGAAGCTTTTATTTGCACTCAACAATGGATACGGTCACCTTCCGAAGAATGCAAGTTTCAAGACCTTTTAGAGGAAGTTCAGAAAATTGAGCAAGTTGAAGAAGGTATTTACATAGTTTATCCTTAATGAATTTGATTCTCTTTTTATATTGTTTGATATGTTAATTTTTTTTTCTTTTAGAATATCCTGGAGCGCCTTTGAGTATTGACTAGTTCGGATGAACTTGGTGCTTATTTCTGACTCTTGTCAGCTAGAACTATTGGCATGTTAGATGGGATGTAGTTTTTGGGTTACCAAGTCTATGAATTAGTGTCCTTTTTATTTTGGTCGAACTTCAAAATTGTTGGACTAAGCTCAGACAACTCTGTACCAATTCTCTTCTTTTGTTTTGTGCTCATTTTGACTGCAACCTTCAATCTGGTAAATTTAGCAGATTGAACTTGGATGTTTCAATGGAAGTCTTTTGTACTCATGTAAGTTTCAGTCTTTGCTCGAGATTATTTTAGATCTTCGTTTCTTTATTCTTTCTATACTGAGTTCATTTTCTTATTTCCGCAAGTTGTTGATTTTTCTATTTACATGTGATTGGGAAGTTCACTGTACTTAGGCTAGCGGGTTTAATTTCACACGCTAGAATCTAGATATAGCTGTGGTGGTGACAACTGTGTGTAGAACTGAGAGTCTCAAAGCAATTGTCTGTGAAGCGGGTGGGAATGTGTGAAAAATGTGAGGGAAATCTATGCTGCATTACTAGTTTACTGTTAAATATAATGATGTGATCCATGCATCTGCTAACTATAGCTCAAAATAACAATCATACTTAGATTGAATATCAGTCTTGGATTCATACTCTACCTCAACTCTGCTCTTACACCACTCTTTTAAACATTGAGCTCTCCTGAGGATATACCAACCTGCACATTAGTTGAGTCTGATCTGATAGAAGAAATCAAACATGTGGATGCACCACATAAGTTTCTTGTTCTTTAGCTGTCCTCTGCTCCAATGACAGACATCTAATTAATATATAATGGTCTAGCTAGATGCTGTCAAAAATCTTCCATCTACACCACAAGCAACTTCTGCAGTTACACTCTCCAGCTTAACAGCATATAAATGCAATGATCTTTGGTCCAATCTTCATTAAGATCTTGAGCTTGTTTAACCGGCTACTTATAGCCTGTTTGGCCAAGCTGAAAAAATCAGCTTATTTTGAGGAGAGAAGCAGTTTGTGTTTGGCTAATCACTCTGAAAAGCACTTTTGAGCAATAATTTGTGTTTGACCAAGCTTTTCAAAAAGTGCTTTTAAGTATCAAATTACGAATAAGGACATGAATAGATTTACTTATTAGTTAATATTATAAGTAAATAAATAATCTCAAAAAATTATTATTACAGGCCATAATTAAATCTTTTCATTTTATTTAAGTAAAATATGAAAATAAAATTAAAAAGTACTTTAATTCTTTTAATATTATTATATTAAAAATCATTCAACAAATATATAAGCATTCACCCCTAAAGTCACTATTTATTAGAAAACTATCCTAAAAATAAGAAGAAATACTTATACATTAATATCCTAAGTATTATATTTAACGGTTATTTTGGTATATACTATATTTTGTTAAGTGTATTTTTGGTAAGAAGAAAATTCAAAAATGCTTCTGCTTTTGGGAAGAAGCTATTTTTTTCTGTTTCTCAGAAACTACTTCTGCTTCTTCCCAAAAACACTTTTTTCCCCCAAAAAAGCTTTGTCAAATACTAAGTAAAAAAAAAAAAATACTTTTGGGGGAAAAAAGCACCTTTGGCCTTTGGAGAAGCTTGGCCAAAGTCTCAATCCCATACTATCTCTCTTGCCATTCCATCATTTCCCAATCTTATTTTTCTATATTAGTCATTTAAATTTATTTTGATCTAACCATAGAGATCTCAGCATTTACCTCATTGCTGATACTAGATTTGGTTGAGCAAACTTACTACTTCTGAGAGAAGGAAATGTCCACTTAGAAAATCATACTAATCAAAGCTCTTTTGGCAAGTATAGTATATCATTGCTGTATCAGCAGGAGATGAATTTCAATTAAACGAATAGCCAGTGAGACAGCTCTTAAAATCATTAATATAAGGTTCTCATACAATAACATATATAGTCAGACCTCTCTATAACATCCTTATATAATAGTCATTCATTATAAAAGCCGAGTTTTTCTTAGAACCGATATTTTAAGTTATATTTTACCTCTCTATAATAGTTTTTACCCATAACATCAACAACCATATTTATAGCAGAACGCTCTTTGTAAAATTACCCCTCTATATCAGCCATATAGAATCTTTAAGAATACTAATAATAATTCTAAAAATACGTACACAATCTTTTTCATTAAACAAAGTTTCTATCTTGCATAAGATATAAGATTTGAAATTTTGCACATGGTATCTTTTTCATTGGACAAATCGCAAAAAATATTTAAATAGAAAATTTAACTTTTAAGCTCTTAGATTGTCTTCAAGGAAAAGTTATTGGATACTTTTTTGCTGAAAAGTTGGACACGAATCTTCACCAATTCAAGCGTTATATCGCTAGTAAGAGAATAAAATCTACGAAACAAGCTACAATTACAAAGTTCTTCTATCAATCTTGAAAAAAATATATTTTTTAGGTAGCTTTAAAATGTCTGTCTTAGAGTTTAAATCTTTATACTTTTAGTTATGAATGTATTAATAATGTATTAGCTTTCTTCAATAATTAACTAGTGAAAATATGAATATTTTTTGAGATTTTAAATTTGAATAATTTTGTTATCTTTTATACGTAACATTAAAAGGGGTAAAATAATTATTTTTTGGATGACGGCCAAAAAATATTTAAACGTCAAATGTTATTATAGGTGTATAACAATCATTCACTATAAAAGCCAAAAAATATCAAAACAAACGAGGTTGTACGGACAACAGTGGGAGATTTAATTAGGCCATGTTGTGCCATGCGTTACATTGCACTTGTGAATACAGAACTAGTTAAATAATTGCATTTACAAGTTACTCTAAATAACCTGAATATTTACATTCATCAAAATAGCGTGCGCGCGAGAGAGAGAGAGAGTTAAGTGAATATACCTGGTCTAGGTACCGGTGACCAATTCAATCTTATATAGGCAGTCAGATGCATAAGGCATCTCGTATTCCCGCAGGATCCAAGAAAGGGCTATATTTCAAAGGGTGTGATATAGACAGTTTACTCTAAAGCAATCATTAGTGACTGCTTGCACATCTAAACCCGTGATCTATAGGTCACACGACCACAACTTTACCGTTGATCCAAAGCTCCCATCAATTTAAAAACAGATATGCTAAGTAATGTGAAGATCACTTCCTACTTCAGCCCTTGAAACAATTAGTTACTTTAATAACAGGTTTTTCATGCATATTCCACAAAGTTTCATTACACCTATGCTGTCAATGAACTAAAGATAGTAGATGATAGCAGGCAACCAAGTTTCTGACACATATTAATATATACGGTCGAAATAGATTTCGGCCTTTCTACGTTCGATCGAGTTCGAATGGTAAGCAACCGGAGTGGGATTTTGGGATGAGTTCCGAAGGCAGTACAAACGTGCCTCGAGTCCGGAGGTTGATCGAGGAGTCGGCTCGATACTTTTATCGAGCCCGTGACCAAATCGATCCGCAAGGCATTGTTTCGAGGTCAGAAATGCGCTACGCCCACCCCGGAGGTCGAACTCAAGCCAAAACCGAGGGCTCGACCCAATAACGAGTTCGAGCCAGTGTCGAGCTCACAGACAAAGAGTCGATACAACGGCAGTAAGAGAGAAAATCTTGGCGGGAATCGAGGAAGAGACAATTCATCATGGGTCATCCACTATATGATTTATTTTATTGTATATAAAGTAGGTTCCCTCTATTATAAAAGAAAGAATTCTTGTAAGCATACGACCACGGAGAATATACCGTAACAAAAGATCACTTCTCATATTGAAAGATATCTCCTCATTCTTGTTTTATTTTAGCTTATTCATTCTTTTGCTCACTATTCCCATTCTCATAACCAAGAACACACATATTTCTATTTCTCTATACGATTTGTATCAAATTATATCACATATCCTTAGAACCATACACAAATTTAACGTTATCTGATTTTTTGGGTAAATAATTAGGCGTCCACCGTGGGACTAAGGATAACAGTGATTGTTTGATATAAATCTGTAGTACACACCAGTTTACAACTTCGAATCAGCAATGGCTTTACCTATCGACCACGAAGCCGGTCTTCAAGATGAGACCAACAACTTGGTATCCGGGGCCGGAAAGCCGCTTGACGATGGCACCGAGGCTCGAATCGAAGTACCAGAAATTCGAGTCGAAGTACCGTTAGATGTCAATTCGCAAGTGGCTCTTGAAGCGAACCAACATTCCGAACCGAAAAAAAAGCATTCAGGGCGGTACTCGATCCGTAGCTCGAGACACCCATACCGTGGGGGAAATCGGAGTCAGCTTGCACATGATCTTCGAGATGTTACAAGCCCAACAAGTAGCGATAGCTCAGTTGCAGAGCCAAACTCATATACAAAGCAGGCCAGATCCCAGTCCGCTTTGAGAAATCACCCCCAGAACGGAGCCCGACATAGTGAAATCAAACGAGCAAGAATCGGGGACCACTCTCGAAATTACTAAATTGCTCGAGGAACTCACAAAATGAGTCGAAGCCAACGACAAGAAAGTGGAAACATACAATG